GACAGGCGAGTGGCTCGGGCGAGGGGCAGGAGAGCACTGGGAGGAGCCGGTACCTGAGAATGAGGCTGGGCATTGTGATGTCACCAGGCATAAGAGCTCTTTTGCCATGGCAACCAGAGGTCCCCCCCACACACACACCCGGGCAAGGTGCTGAGCGCTGGGGCTGTGGGCGCCTTTGGCCTGGCCTGGCCTGGGGGTGCTCCCGGCCCGGGACGACCTGAGCCCCTGAACTCATTGGGCGCGTTGTCCGTCCTTGTCCGTGTGGCCCAAGCAGTGACCGCCCTGGCTGGAGGGTCACAGCAGTGACCGCCCTGGGCCAGGGGGTCGTGGTTAAACAGTAGCCCCTGGTGCCGGATCTCAGCCCCTCTCTGATGACTGCCCCGTGGGGTCAGGGCACATCAGGGCAGCGCCTGGGGCTGGGACACAGAGCCCAGCTCGGCCCCAGCCCCTTTCTGTGCAGGGAGGGACGACAGGGTCCTGGGAACAGGCCGGCCAGAGCAAGGGTCAACACAGACCTGCGAGACCTGGGCCTGGTGCAACTCGTAGACCAGGGGCAGGCAAAATATAGCTTGCGTGCTGGATCCAGCCCACCGGGCCATTCTTTCTGGCCTGTGGGGCACCTAAAAATTTTAGAAAATGTTTGTTTATCTGTTCCTGGCTCCTGTCAAAGATGCCAAAAGCCAGGGGCAGTCAGACCCAGGAGAAGTCAACAGCACTCACTAACGAAGCCAGGCTGGATGCGCCCCATCCCCAGCCCCCTCTCAATGAGAGGTGCACGCACTGCTTCCCTGCACATGGCCACCTCCAGCACCATGTGGCCCTGCTTGCATTACGGGGCCGCAGGAGCATGGCCTGTGTGGGTACCCGAGGGCCAGGTGTAGGAGGGTGTGTGTGTGTCCCTGCAATGAGGGAGGGGAAGAGAGAGACAGAGGGGAGCAATGAGGGAGCAAGAGACTGTGTGTGTGTGTGTGTGTGTGTGTGTGTGTGTGTGTGTGTGTGTTCATAGGGTAAGCCTGACGCACACGTCCCACCATACACATACACCCACACCCACCTTGCACTGTCATACACGCTGACCCCCACACCCCAACCCTGTCACAGGTCAGCCACCCTCCCCCCCCCCCACCCCCACATCCCCCCCCACATACTTACAGCCCCCCACAACCCTATACCCATGGTCTTCCCCCACCCAATACACAAGAGTATGACTTCATTTCAAGCTATTGTGCAATCACACAATCAGGTGTGTAACCTGCTGCTGAATTTGCAGCAGGGCTCAGGATCCCTGGCAAGGCAGAAGGAGAAAGTTTGCAGAAAGTTGTTTTGCAAGAGCATCTGCATGTGTTTGATTGGCTCCCGAGGTAGGGGAGGGGCAGGGACTCAGCCAGGCTCAGGGAAGGGAAGGAGCCTGGGGAGCACAGAGCTTGGGGAGGAAATACCTTGTAGCCTGTGAAGTGAACTTGCCCTTAGTGATGGGGAGAACACAACCTGGTATCCTTTTTCTCTCTGTGAGGCAGAGGGACCCATGGGGAGGGAAAAGGGTGGTAAAGGAGACTTGCCTAGGAGGGCAGGGTGTTGATCTGGGCAGAGTTAACTGAGAACCAGCCTGTGGCCGGGTGGGTGATAAACCCAGGGTGGTTTCAATTATCAGCACAAGGGGCCCGTGTCTGGGACTTGGAGAAAGGTGCTTTTGGGAAAAGGGGACAGTGTGTTTCTTTGCAGATAGCACACAGCTGGAGCAGAGGAGAGCTGCTCTTCCCCATGAGGCTGTAGCAGAGCAGGACTTGCTGGAGCAGCAGCACCAGCCGTGGGTGCTGGGTTGCCAGTGTGAAGGAGAGCTGTTGTCTTGTTAAGCCTGCGTGCTCCTGCTGACATTCACTGCAGTCTCAAGGTTTAGGCTGGGGAGTTGTACTGAGGGTGTCTTTGATGCAATTTGTACAGTGTGTTTTATTGCCTTTACACCTGCATTTGAAGGTGCAGCAGGTTCTGGGAATTGTCCCTGGAGATGGTGAATTGCCCTTTCACAGTCAAGTAGATACCACTAACTGGGTTGATCATAACTAGTTGCAGGCATCCACCCGCTCCAGCCCCTTCCCAGGGCCTGTTGCACCCAATCCATGTAGTTGTTGCTGAAGGTGAATCCAGAGGCTTTGCAGGAGAGGTGCTGAATGTCTAGGCTTCCTCACATCCCCTCCAGACTACATGAGCTGCACCTGAAAACCAAGGTAGGCTCCAAAAGTAACTAGTATCAGGGCAGCATCAGTGTGCTGTAACCTTCTCTCTCCTTCCTCTATGGGAGGAAGAAATACCTTGCAGAGCTGGTGCCAGGACAAGAAAGTGAAGCCCAAGTCCCTCTTCCCTGGTGCTGGGGAAAGTTCCCAGGTGTTGGCTGGTCACTGCCCAGACCCGAGGGGCTGCTGTTTGTCTGCACAGGTGCTGCCTGGGCAGCTACACGAATGCCAGGCAGGGCTGGGTAGAAAAGAGACAGGTCAGAGAGGAGCAGTCCAGGAAGGGGTCATGTGGGATGTATTATTTCCCCTGGTCCTTATCAGCCTTGCTAGCTTCAGCTGCCATAAGAGACCCGGGGGCTGCAGCAGGAGGCTGTTTGCTGCTGGGGCAGGCTCCCACCCTGCAGGCTGAAAGCAAGGTGTCAGCAGGGAGAGGTGGGAGAGGGCCATGGGCTGGACCAAGGGGAAGACTGTGCCTGGGCTGGACTCTCTCTCTGCAGCACAAGTCGTTCGGGGCCTGGAGTTTCCAGGGGAAAGGCAGGGAGTCCCAGGCGGCAGAGAGGCCCAGGACTGGCAAATGAGCCTGGCAAGTTTTGGATATGGCTTGATACCCCATGTAGGGGTGAGGAGGAGGGGGCATGGCGGGGGGTAGGTGTCCAGGACCCATTTGGGAGGGGTGGTGGTGCCTGGCTGCAGGTGCAGGGCTGGCTGCAGAGGGGCTGTGGCTGCACCCCTGCGAGCCTGGTCCTGGGAGGCTGCTGCCCCAGTGCCCAGAGACACCCTGTGCTGGGCCTTGCATAGGTGCTGTCTGTGCCCAAAGACTTCCTGAGCTTGTGCTATTTATTCCTTCAGCCCCAGCCCCAAGGCCAGGAAGTAGGGGTTCAGGGAGCCTCCATGTGTCTCTGGGAGAGGATAGCAGAGGGCTTGGCCAGAAGAAGGTGTTGGGGCTCCCTTGCAGATCCTGTGCACGGGGCTCCCAGTGGGGACAGGGGCTGTGTGACAGCAGGGGTGTTTGCGAGTGCCCTGCGCTGCCTGCCGTGTCCTCTGCAGGGAGCTGGGTGGGACAGTGTAAGGGCGGTGCTGTGTCTGGGCTCAGCCTGCCTTTGCCACCCTGTGCATCTGGTACGGTGATACTGGGGCATGCCCTCAGGGTTCAGGCTGTTGATCCGCAGATAGAACAGGCTGCTGGAGAGGCTTTGCAAGAGTGCTGCACAGTCTCCAGGCTTCCTCACAGCAGCTCTGCATTCCCTGAGCTTGCCCTGCCTCCTGCCCCCTGCACTGAGAGACATGGCGAGAGGCCTGGACACGTGGGCCCCCGGTGCCAAGCCTGTGACGGGATCCCTGGTGAGCACTGGAGAAAGCCCCGCTCCTGTGACAGCTGCAGCCAGAGTGCAATGGGGCTGTGCTGGGGGCCAGGCTGGGTGTGCAGGGACCCTGAGGCTGTGGCTTCCCCACACAGGCCAGGTGCTGATTTTGAGCAGGAGCTGGGCAGAGGATTTGCATAATCTGCCTTTCCAGAAGCGGGAGAAGGAGGTGCAGGTTGGCCCACACAAGCCCAGGCAGAGATGAGGCCGGTGGGATCTCCACATTGATGCCTAAGAAGACCTGCAGATTCTCCAGAAGGACTTTGTGAATCCCTGGCTGCAAGGAGATACTCTGCCCTTGGGGTTTCTTAAGACCCAGGCAAGGCTTTCTGGTGTCTTTTTGGACGATTATGTTGCAGTTGAAGTCAGGCTAAGTTGAGTGTGTTGTCACTACTGTGTCTTACTGGGCTGTGTCTTGGCTTAGGTGAAGTTTTTCTGTTGCTTTATGTTGTGTGCTTGACATTGCAAATGGCCATGCTCAATAAATGCTGTCTTCAGAGAACGGACTATTCTCTTTATGCATTTCTCAATTCATTGCCACCAGCTGAAGTGGAGCGTTATGTCTGGTACCAGTGGAAGGTGTTTTGCTGCCGATGTTTGGGCATCATTGGCCTTAATTATTTTTCTGTGACTCTATTTTCCCACCCACATTTTTCACAGGGGGATGTGCTGCCCTGGCTGAGCTCTCCCACATGTTGGGACAGACGTGCGGGCTCTGCCCCTTCTGATGGGGTCTTTTTCCCCCCAGGGACTGTTGCAAACAGTGCAGAGGGGTGAGATATTCCTGCGTGCTGTCAGCTGGTCCTTGCCCAGCCCCAGAGGCACTGAATTGTCTCCCCAGGTGCAGCTGGGCAGGGAGAGAGACAGAGGCTTCCCACTCAGGATGCTTGGCCGAGACCAGCTTTTTCCTCTGAGCAATGAGACTCGATTGGCACTGACGCTCTGCTCTGCACCTTCAGCCCCACAGGCCATGCTGGCCCTTCCTGACCTGCCCGGAGTCTGGGCAGGCAGTGCCAGGACCCTCTCACTGCCATGGGTTGGATTTGCCCCCGTCTCCCCCATGTCTGTGGTCAGCTCAGCCCAGCAGCTCTGAGAAATGCAGGTGTCCAGAGGCAGGGCTGTGGCCCAGCTCTCCCCGAAGGGCCTTGGGAGAAGCTATCTCAGTTTCCCCAGGGCATGGGAAGGATGCTCAGGGGGTCGGGCTGTGGCAGGAGAATGGTGCCCTGTTTTGAGGCCGGCATCAGGAGGAGCTGTGGAGCAGGGGCCTCTGCCCAGTGCATGTCCCAGCAATGGCAAGGGTTGGGGGAGGATGAAGGGAAGGGCCTGGGTGAGGCTGGAGGAAGATGTGCTTCTTGGGAAGGGAGCAGGTGCTGGGTGAAGGGCGGGTGGTGGATTTCTCTTGGCAAGAGGTTGAAAATGAACCAGCAATGGGGCTGTGGAGAAGATGCCTGGTGCTGTCTCGTTGCTGTGGCTTCCCTTGCACGTGGCTGGTGCAGGTGAGTGGCAGGTGCCACAGGGGATGGGAGGACCTGGGAGGCACTGGGGAGCAGCTGGGGAGGCCAAGAGAGCCTGGGGACGTCCCCTCCCTGCCTCTGGGCTGTTTCTTCTCACCTCTCTGTCCCCAGAGCTACTGGCTGGGCTGTGCCTGGAGAGCTGGTGACCTTCCTTCCTGCAGCCCTCCAGGGTGGAGCTACTCCTGGTAAGACCTCTGTGTGCCTGGACCTGGCCTCCTCTGGGCCCTTCAGTGCCTGTCCTCACCCAGGGAAGGAGGAGAACACAAGCCATCCTTTTATCTGGCATTGAGCTCAGCCTTTGCCTGCTTCTCTCCTAGACCTGGGGAAATGTATTGTGTGCCCAGAAGCTGCTCTGCCATCTGTCCCACTTAGGTAGTTGGTTCAGAAAAAAGCATTGGCGATACATAGGGGGTGCATGGAGCTGCACGTGCACCCCCTGAGGTTGGCTGTGCTCCCCCTGGAAGCACCACGGTGCTACAGAAGGGCAGCCCACAGCCCAGGAGGGAAGATCAGCTCCTGGGGGCAGCGGTCCTGAGCACCCCAGGACAGGTCCTTGAGCAACATGTAACTGGGATTTGCATTGAAGGAGTATGCCAGGGCCTGGCCTCAGGAAGCCTGGAGAGATGGGACGGCAGGTGTACTCGTCTGTCCCTGGGCAGACCTCCCTGTCTCTGCTGGGGAAGCCTGGGCCAGCTCTGTAGGATTCACCATCGCACACCTTTGGATGTGAGCATTGTTGGGCCTATCCCTGTCACTTTGCTCATGTGGTGAGTCCACTAGTGTCCTGTTGGCCGCTTGGCTGTGCCAAAACTATGAGCATGCTTGTCCCATCTCCCCCTTCCCCATCTGGAGTGACAGGGCCCAGCGAGTGTCCCCCTGAGCTGCACGTGTTCACCCCTTCCCCGTCCTGGGGGTGGAGGTGGGTGCGGGGGTAAGCAGATCATCAGGAAAGTCCACTCCTAGTGCCTGCACCGTGCCGGGGAGCTGACTATATCTGAGCCGGAGGAAGAGAGAACCCCCATGGAGGATCATGTGGGGATCATGTCCGTGCTGACCCTTGCTCCGGCCCCTTCTTCCCCTTGTCGTCCCTCCCTGCACGGAAGGGGCCGGGGGCCGAGCTGGGCTCTGTGTCCCAGCCCCAGGCGCTGCCCTGATGTGCCCTGAGCCCACGGGGCAGTCATCAGAGCGGGGCTGAGATCCGGCACCAGGGGCTACTGTTTAACCACGACCCCCTGGCCCAGGGCGGTCACTGCTGTGACCCTCCAGCCAGGGCGGTCACTGCTTGGGCCACACGGACAAGGACGGACAACGCGCCCAATGAGTCCAGGGGCTCAGGTCGTCCCGGGCCGGGAGCACCCCCAGGCCAGGCCAGGCCAGGCCAAAGGCGCCCACAGCCCCAGCGCTCAGCACCTTGCCCGGGGGTGTGTGTGGCGGGGGGAGGGCCCTCTGGTTGCCATGGCAAAAGAGCTGTTATGCCTGGTGACATCATAATGCCCAGCCTCATTCTCAGGTACCGGCTCCGCCCAGTGCTCTCCCGCCCTTCGCCCGAGCCACTCGCCTGTCCTCGTCCTCGTCCTCGTGCCCTTAGCTAGTACTGTTGTTTGGAGATAGTGTAGTGGTAGGTTCATTAGGTAGGTGTGTTTTCTTTAGGTAGTTAGTTCCCTAGTTAGTTAGTTAGTTGTTTCATTAATTCATTAGATAGCTTACTTGTTCTTTAGTTAGTTGATTAGGTTTTTAGATAGTTAGGCGAGATAGTTAGTGTAGATAGGTAGCTAGTAGGGAGAGTTGTCCGGGCGTCGGATGCCTGCGCCGGTTGGAGCCGTGAGTGCCCTTTCTCACTCGGCCGTGGGGGCGGCACGGGGGACACGGCGCGGGCCCGGCACGGGCACTTTTGGGAGAGGTGGCAAGCTGTGAGCAGGGGCTCGGGCTGCGCCAGGGCCCAGCACTCGGCCCCGGGCCTCGTCCCCGCTCGCGGCAGTCCGGCTCCGCTTTCCCTCCTGCAGCTCAGGCCTGTGTCTCTTTGCAGATGCTCCGGCGGGAGAGCTTGCCCCCCATACGACGGCGCTCCAGCAACCTGGGTGAGACCTGGGCACGTGCCCCCATGGGAGCGACGAGGGCTGGGCAGCGCCACAGCCTACAGGGCTGCGTGGCCTCCCGTCCCGGCAGGGTTTGGCTGGCAGGCCCAGCCCACGCTGTCCCAGCTCCATCTGGGCACCCGTGCCCCGTCCCCCCCCAGCTGTCACCCCTGCTCTTCACCAGCAAGTTCCCTGTGGACGGGCAACGGGACCGGCGCCCACGGGCTCCTCGCACTGGGCCAGGTCCTGGCCCTGCAGCCCCTGCCCATGCCCCAGCCCTGGCAGTCTTGTCCCAATCGTGTGGCCCACATGGGTCTGGGATCCCCATCCGAAATGTGGTGCTCAGTCCCGCCCAGCCTGATGCTCAGCCCTCATGTCTCCTCAGCACCAGATGCCAGCCTGGGCGCAAAGGCACTACTGCCCCCCATCAAAGGGTCCCCCCCTGTCTCCTCCGCTGGGGGAGCCCCGGAGAGGAGGGACCCTGCACCCGGTGAGTTTGGGTCCGGCGTGAGCTGTGGAGGGACTTGGGCGGGGGGGGACAAGGTCTCTGCATGGGGGCACCCCGCTCTCTCTCCTCACCGCCTGTCCCAGGGCACCGAGATGATGCAGCCAGCAGCCCCCGGGCCAGCCCTACTGCTCCTCATCCCCTTGCCCCCGGCACCCCCCCCCTGCCAGGGGCATGTGCGTCTCAGGGGACCTGCCACGTCCCTGTGGTCTCTCCCCACCCTGCTCCCTGGAGGCACTCCCACCCGACCCCCGTGGAGGAAGGCCCTGCCCTTGCGGCGTGCAGGGCTCCTGCCAGGTTCCCCCACGCGTTGCGTCGCAGAGGGGCTGGTGGCCCTGCGCCCCGGCTGACCCCCTTGTCTCCCCGCAGGGCCGGGAGCAGTGCCGGGGGCAAGTGCGGGCAGCAGCGCGAGGGGCCAGACCTGGCCGCACCCCCCCGCTGCCGTGAGTCTTTCCCCTGCGCGGGGAGTGGGACGGGCGGGTCTGGGGGCGGGGGTCTCTCCCCAGGTGCCCTGCGCCCCTCCCAGCCCCACGCAGCACACGGCACCCTGCGGACAGTCTCCGTCTCCTGCCAACTCCAGGGGCCCTCCACGGATAAGGGTTGTGGGCTCATCCCCCGATCACAGGGACAGTCCTTCCCCAATCCGAGTGTCTGGGGGGACCTGGGACCTGGAGCTGGGAGGGGGGGACTCGCCTGGGACAGGGGGGCAACCAACCCCTGGGATCCCCAGGGCCCAGCTCTAGGAGCCCTGCCCGGCCCCGGGGCTTGGGAGGCCGCCAGCCCTGCACCATGGGGACATGGGACCTCGCTGCCCAAGGGAGCCCATCGCCCCAGACGCTCTTTCTTTCCCCAGGAGCTGAAAGGCCCCCGCAGGTACC